GATTTTCAATTCTTCCAGTTTCATTTGCTGAAAATACTTTCTTTTCTCCAATGCATTGTCCTATATTCTTTGGTAAAGTTCAGGAGCCTATATGTTTGGGTTTTTTTCTGGATTCTCTGTCCCATTTCATTGGCCTATGTCTCTTTTCTTGTGCCAGCCAGTACCATGCTCTTTTGATCATCACAGCTTTGAAAACAATTTTGAGGCTGGGTAGTGAGATGCCTCCTAATTCATTCTTTTTGCACAGTATTTCCTTGACTACATGAGGCCTTTTATGATTCCACATAAATTCTATAATTGTTTTTTCTACTTCTGTGAAGGATGTCATCAGTATTTTGATCAGAATTACAATTAATGTGTAAATTTATTTAGGTAGAATTATCATTTGATCATATTGATTCTTCTAATCCAAGGACATGGTGTGTTGTTCTATTTTTTTGTATCATACTCAATTTCTTTTGAATACTATCACATCAGCCATTAAATTTAGGCACATAGTTTTGGAGAGGACACATTTAAATTATAGCATTCCATCTTTGGCCCTCCAAAATGAATGTCCTTTCCACCTGTAAAATGCCTCCATCCCAATTAGACACACACACAGACACACACACACACACACACACACACAACACACACAATACACACTGTGACTAACAGTTTATGTTACCTACATGGGTTCTAAAAGTCAGCTTAACGGGAAGTCATTCTTCTTCTTGTACCCGCACTGACTGAGCCAAAGGCAAAGTTATGAAATGTTCAGAAATCAGTTTATTCTGAAGTAACTTGAAAATTCTTACCCTAGATGACAAATCAGAATTCTAGCTGATTTTTGGTGATGAGTACTGTACTTCTTGGATAGACAGCAAACAATAAAATACCATTACAGAGTTCTCTTCTGGTTCATACACATCAAAGCAAAGGCATTTACTAATGGCTTCTCCTGCTTCATAATTCCCACAGAGTTAAAATGCACCTCACTCAGACTTAATATCTCTTTTTTCCTACAGTGAAGACTTGCTGCCTGTGAGATGACCCAGGCAGAAGTTTGAGGCCTTTCTACTTTGTGCCTCAGGCCTTCCACTAAGAAAATTGAGTGTGAGAACTTTATTTCCAATACTGTCTGCCTATTGTGACATCTCTCCTGGGTCTCTTCACCCCTAAATTCTTCATTTCTTTTCAGAATTTAGCTGAAAAGCACTTTCCCGGCCTGTTTATCTCAATGTCTGTCTCTCACTGCTAGTATTTATTGCTTATCACGGTAAGTCTTTATTGAATGTAATCTGTTTGGGGATATAGTTGGCATGAAAGATGCTCCACCAAATGAAGTTGTAAAGTATTATACATAAATACTTAATTCCTGGATTTATTTATTATCATCATTACTTATTTACCATTATAGGCACACAGGACACCTTTGAAAGAAATAAATCTGGTAGGTTGCATTGCCAAATTTTATCACACTAGCTTGTAAGATATAAATTAAGCCATTATGTAATAATTATTAATATTCTTCATATGACTAGCATACATTAGAGTTTACAAAAACTATAGTCTTCCCAGCCACCGAACACAAAAAGATTTTAGTCTGCACGTTACAGGTCAGGGAACTGAGACTCAGAAAGCTCGAGTGATATATAAAGGTCATCTGAATAATGATTGCACAGGTAGGCTCAAACCAGGTCTCCTACGCCAGCTCGTAGTGCGTCTCTCTTCCACAGCTTCCCCCGAGACCAGCAGGGTCAAAGAAAATCCAACAAGTGCCAGATGAGAAACAAAATGGACTCCACTGTCCCCTCTCAAACTTCTGAAGCTTTCATGGGAGAGTACAATTTGGTGTGGATTTATGATTTATGTTCAGCTAAATTAACCCAACTTTGTATTTAGTTCAGAATCATTGGAACCTAAGTGTAAATGTGGGGCCCCCATACTAAATTTTTTATTTGCAACCTTAGGCAGGCTAAAAAGCCCACTATAATTAGCCTTAATTAATATAGTACAATCAGTGAGTTCTTTTCTCCATGTATTCCCAAAATACTAGAGATACCTGAGCTACAATTATGCCATTCAATGTGATTTGTAGAATTGGGATGCTGGTCAGAAGCATATGCCAGCAAAGAGGAGTACAGATTCAGGTAGAACAAAGACATGGTCATATTGATGCACAGAGGCCATCAGGCCACCTTTACTCCTGTTAGATTATTAGAATGCATTTAAATAATAGATACGCAAGGTCCAATGGGCCTTAAAATTACAATCAATTACATTGATTCTATCCCATACATCTTCACTCCAGCAATGGTAGATACAGAGAAACAGAACCACTGTGCAGTAAGAATTTCCCTGGCTAAGCAGGCACAGAGATGTTAAGGAACACTTTGAAACATTCCGTTTGGATGGTAATCTCTTAGCCTCTTGCAACTTTGCTTATCAGTTTATGTACACCTCCTCTTGGGAAGGAGAGTGTTTAAATCAAATTACTTTTTGACTTTTTAAATGAATAATGGAGCACTTGTGCTCACACCAGAGAGAAGGAAGGAAGGGGCGAAAGAGAAAAAGGAGCACCGTACGCAGAGCTCAGTCACACCATTTATCCCCTTCTAGTTCTCCAGCCCACCAGAATCCTGGAGAGACCCACACACATCCAGCCTGTTTTCAAGCCAGTCAGGCCATGGACTGGAACCACAGTCGCCATGTGGCTTCCAGCTCCACCATGTAGTATGCTACCAAGAGTGCCACAAAGACACGGCCAGAAAATTGCTTGTCTCTCAATGTTTTGAAAGTGTTTAAGATTTTACTATCTTTCTCAGGCAAATTCCTACCTTTCATTTAGGGATGCCTATATTAAACTTAATCTCACACCCTTGCTCTCTCCCTGAAGGGACTAGGAATGTGAGCCCCAAATTCCCATGGGAAGTCTGCTGAACAAACCAAAAGAGAGAATTTCAGAATAATGCTTATTCCTATTGCTGGGAGCTATGCAAATCACCTTTTCTTATATAATACTTTTCAATGTAATTGATGTTACAATGAAATTCCGGCTCCGCAGATCTATCTTATCTTAAAAAGTCACCCTGCGTTACCTCTTCTTAAAGGAGCATTTCAGTGCAAACCCCAAAGGCTGTGGACCTGCAATTCCTCAAAAGGAATAAATTAACTATTGAATCTTAGGCTGGCAGTCGATGGAGCATATTAAGTCCCCAAATAAATACACTGCCTGGGAAATTTGATTCAGTTCATAATAAAATAGATTAAATTGTCACCTTGAACTGAAAAATAATTATTCTTGAACTAAGTATAACAGAACAGAGCCATCCGTTTGGACCAGAAAAAAAATAAATAAAAAGTGGTAAATAGAAAATGTAATTTCTCAGTTTACCTAGAAACTATCAGAAAGAAAAGAAATAAAGAAATGTAAAATAAAGAACATAATAAATCACGTATATGGGTAAATATTTTCCATGTTTTCTATTCACATCATTGATTTTAGTTCTGTAATCAAAGAGAAGTTAAAAAACAAAACTGAATATCAAAACAATTAACTTATTTTTATGTCAAGTGGGTGGAAATTAAGCTATTATGATGAGTGCATGTGATATATTAATCCATAGATCATTAACATAATAGTAATTTAATTTACCAAATGTATTTATATCCGATAAGTAATATAATAATCAGGAGAACTTTGGTGGTTTACAACAAAGGTTATTTACACAAGCTTAATAAATGAAAAAATAGGAGTTCAAAAGTATAGGTAACAGATAAGTTATACTAACTTTGAAAATTATAACATTATTACAAATACTCAACAAATTTGGGTGCACTGAAACAAGCCTGAGTGTCCACTGAATAAGGACAAGACAGAAGAAAACATAAGACATTTCTTTTCTTGTTTGCTTTTGTTTTTGTTTTTGTTTTTGTTTTGTTTTAGTTTGTTTTTGCTTTTTGGTCTTTGCCATAGGGCACATGCACTCACCAGAGACAGAAAGAGAGAAAGTGAGAAAAAACCCTCCAGGGAGATGGTCACTCTACAATCCTTTTTTCACCATTCTTTTCTCCAGATTTTCAGCATGCACACATAAGTGCCCAGCACACTTTTTAAGCCACTAGGTTCGGGACTCCAACCGTAGTCAGTCCAGTGTCTTAACCACCATGCCACCTGCTGGCTCCAAGATATTTCATTTTCATAATCTTAAAGAAATATCAATTATCTTCAAGGTTGCCATTTATTTCTGGACTTAAAATATTGTTCTCAACACCAGCAGTTAGCATAATGGCTATGTCGCTGGACTCCCACGTAGTCGACCGCGGTTCAAGTCCCCAACCCAGTGGCTTAAACTCATGCCGGGTGCGTGTGCGTGCGTGCCCAATATCCCAAGAGGAGAATGGAGGAGAAGGGATTGCGGCGTGGCCATCCCCCCTGGGGGGGGGGTGATTTCTCGCTTTCTATCTTTCTGTCTCTCTTTGTCTGGCGAGCGCACGTGCCCTATAGCAAAAACCTCTCAAAAAATACATATATATTCTTCTCAAGTAAGAACTTACACAGATTATTTTGAGTAAGCAATGAATAAAGTCTTCAGTAACCACATTTTGGCTATCATTTTCATATTGCTTTTCTTAGTAAGAATTCTTAAAACCCATGGCTATTACATAAATGTAAAATTTATTGCATAATAAATAAGACAATATTGCCCATGCATTAGCTTTCTGGTGGCCAAACTTGACCTAAGATTAGGAAAAGCATGTTCCTGAGATTACCTTCTGGAATATCATGATTCTTCCCTCAAGTTAAGGGTAGGATTCAGAAAGATTATTTGAGTTTGTAATTCCCAAAAAGCATCTGTAGTGCTAAGATTCCATGTTGTTTACTAAAAGAAAAATAAATATCCTTGGAAATCTTGTTAAAATTTCACCTAAACGCCTCTAGCGGGTGAGCGGGTACCTGGTTGGGACAGGAGGAATGGCGTGGGGAGGTGCTGCAGATGTAGTAGGGTACGGTGCTTCCGGGTCCTGCATACAACCCCTAGAAGAGCCCGCAGTATTTTCCATACATGATCAGGCGCCATTGTGAGTCTGAGAGGATTACAAAAACGTGGTAGGTGAAGTGGGGCTGGGGACTGGACACAGGGGGATGAGGGGCCAGGGACAGCAGGTGAGGTTTGACAAGGGAGGTTTAGGGAGACCACTGTAACTGTGAGCCCTGGCCGATGATGACGTGACCACTGCGCAATCTGAGTTCTGAGAACCACCTGATGGAGCGTGTTCTGAGAACCGACTGAGGCCGGTGGGGGGAAAAAAAAAAATTCACCTAATGTAAACCAGGTGTCACTTGGGGCCTCCCTGACCTTCAAAGAGTTGTCAAATATTCCTGATTTCCCTTCCATGTGATCCAGAATCTCTCACACATGTTCTGCATATTCCTGATACTATGGTTTGAATGTGTTCCCCAAAAATTTCACGTGTTGGACCAGCAGGTGGCATGGTGGTTTAGGCACTGGATTCCCACATGGCCTAGGAAGGTTCAAGTCCCAGACCTGGTGGCTTTCTCTCTCTCTCTCTCTCTCTCTCTCTCACACATCAACTCAAAAAATAATAACAAATGAAATTAAATAAATAAATAATTCTTTTTTTAAAAGTTCACATATTAAAATTCGGTTGTGACGACATTAAGAGGGTAAAAAATTATTTATTTCAACTATGATGTTGAGATGTGAGGCTTTGGGGAAATTAGAATTAGGGTGAGACTCCCCATGCCTGTATATTTGAATCAACAGATATGAACACATACACATTCCCGCTCTCTTATCATGTGATGATTCTACTGTATTACCCATCAGCAAAAAGTTCCTCACTAGATGTGGCCCCTGGACCTCGGTCTTCAAAACAGTGAACAAAATAAGCCTCTATTCTGTATAGATTACCCAGTCTCAAGTATTTGTTATTAGCAACATAGTAGGCTGGAATACCTGACCTATCTGCATTCACTATTCCTGAGTCTGCCCTTTCAGTTTGGAAAGTCAATCACAATTATGAATATTCTGAGGTTACTAAGTCAGCTCTGCTTGTTAATAACAGAGAGAACGTTATTTCCCATTCATCTTTCTCCAGCCCACTAGCCTACCTCCTGTTCATTCACCGCTCAGAGAACCACAATCCTGAAAAACATCCATGCCTACCATGGTCTATGTCGGTTGCTTCTGGGATTCTGGGACACAGAGAAGCCCTATTAGCTTTAGTCTGGAACTCTGGGTAATAATATTTATACTCTCTTACTACAACTTCTCCTGACAATTCTTTCCCTGAAGAATGGGTGAGAAGAATCGTTTAGTTATTTATAGTTAAGAATTCTCCCTGAAGCCCAACTTCACAAATTATCTTACTACTTTCTGGGAAAGAGGATAATGTGTTTCATAACTTTTCCCCTCTTGCACTCAGAAGAGCTCATTGGTCCTGCTACTTATATCCAGACATTAGTTTCTTAGAGCCTTTTGAGGGACAACCTACAACAAGATGTCTTCTTTAACTCAAACAAACCTAAAAATTGAATTTTTCATCTTATAGAGTCCTAGGCAGCAATTTTTTTCCCCTTAATGTATCCCACACATAGTTAAGCCTTCTGAAGGGCTAGAGGTAAGTAAAAGTGTGAGTACTTACACATGTAAGAGAGAACAACCTCTCAAAAGAGGATCACAAAACAATAATATCTGATTGAATGCTTAGGGCTGCTGAAAATTTGCTAAAATTTGCTAAAAGGAATCTACACAGAGAAAAAGCTCTAGAAATGTGCATGGAATCCCCTCAAGACTTTAATATTTCTAAGTGCAAATAATCAGAATAAGACTTTTTGAAGGAAACACACACACACACACACACACACACACTACTGGGAAACGTGAGTTAACTGGAGATTCTAGGCATTTCACAGTATGGACTGATGCTGGGCCTCCAAACAGCAGGAGGGTGAAGGCTTCAATTAATGCATTATGCATCAGGGACTCCAGAAAGTCCATGATGGGAATAAATCTGTCTACCTCTAGAATAGGACTACTATAGATATGCTGTCACAAAGCTTAAAAACAAGCATGAAGAAAATCAAGCTGATTCATAAGATAATTCATTGCCTTGGAAAATAAAAACTCAACTTCCATTTTTTATGGAAAGGAGGGACCAATCTGTGGTGTGGTGGTTAAGGTGCCAGGCCACACAGCTGACTGCAGTTCAAGTCCTCTACCCAGTGGCCTGAAAATCACACTGGGATTATGTGTGTACATGCCCAAAACCCCAGGAGGAGAATGAAGAAGAAGGGATTGCAACATGGCCATCCCCACTGCAGCGTAATTTCTCACTCTCTCTCACTGTCTCTCTCTGTCTCTCTCCAGTGAGGGCACACACCCTATGGCAAAAACCTAAAAAATAATAATAATAAAAGAGATAAGGAAATGAAATCTAAGTTCTCACTATTGGAGTGTCTATAATGTCCTACATACAATAAAAATGACTAGATGTTGGGCTGTTGATGTGTTGGTAAGGTAGCTGTATCCTATATGGCCAACTACGAGGCTCATGTTCTGGACCTGGCAGCTTGAAAAACACCCTGGATGCATGTGAATGCTTGCCAAAAATTCCAAGAGGAGTATGAAGGAAAAGGAATTATAGCATGGATCTGTGTGTGTGTGTGTGTGTGTGTGTGTGTGTGTGTGTGTGTCTCGAGCATATTTAAAAAGAAGAAAAGAAAAAAGAAAAAGAAAGAAGAATGACTAGATGTAGGATTTACTGACCTAAAACAAGGAAGAAGCATGCCCACCCAAAAGACACAGGAAAAGACACATGAAAGCTGCTCAAGTAATGCTAAAGTCATAAGGAAGATTATAGTTTCAATTCCCCAACCAACCTGTACATGCTAGGCATGTGTGTCCATCATCCTGGTGTGCCCATGATCCTGGTTGGTTAGAAGACCTGGGAGGTGGATAGATGGATGGAGGAATGCATGGTATGGGGCCCTGTTAAAGGCTCCATACTTTCTCTCTCTCTCTCTCTCTCTCTCTCTCTCTCTCTCTCTCTGTCTCTCTCCTCTCTGACTCTTAAGAAAGAAAGAAGTAAAGGGACCAGCAGTTAACGTAATGGCTATGTCTCTGGACTCCCACATAGTCGACCATGGTTCAAGTCCCGGACCGGGTGACTTAAACTCACACCGGCCGAGTGCATGTGCGTGTGTGCCCAAGATCCCAAGAGGAGAATGGAAGAGAAGGGATTGCGGCGTGGCCATCCACCCTGGGGGTTGATTTCTCGTTTACTGTCTCTCTGTCTCTGTCTGTCTGGCGAGCACACGCGCCCTATAGCAAAAAAAAAGAAAAAGAAAAAAGAAAAGAAAAGAAAAGAAAGAAAGAAAGAAGAAAGAAAGAAAGAAAGAAAGAAAGAAAGAAAGAAAGAAGGAAAAAGAAAGAAAAAGAAGTAAGAAAAAGAAAGAGAAAGAGAGAAAGAAGGAAGGAAGGAAGGAAGGAAGGAAGGAAGGAAGGAAGGAAGGAAGGAAGGATGGAAGGAAGGAAGGATGGAAGGAAATGAAAAATTTAAGAACTCCAACTAAACTCAAAGTAATGACTGCCACCTAGTGACATTGGGCTCTTTATCCCAGTCAGTCATTAGGCATGAGCTATCCTAAAGTCTGGTCCCTGATCATTATGAAATAGAAAAACTACCACTTATTAATCAGGACATAAATGTGTCTGGCACATCTGTTGGTAGGTACATCTCGTCACATATCCGTGCCCACTTGTGACTATAAATGAGCAAGTAGAGCAACTTCAGTTTCAAAAAGTCATGCAACCAGGAGCCTGGGCTCTTTGGGATGAGGACCACACCAGCATAAAAGGCAAGCTACCTACACAAGCCCAAAGTGTTGGCTCGGGGTAAAGGAGTCATAAATGGGTGACATAGGAGAGACATAATGAGTATCATTTAATACATTGATACTAATTGCAGGAGTGGGGGTTGCATCTTTATCCTATCAACCTTTATATTTCCTAAGACTTGTGATCTTGGAATCTGTATGGTTAGAATGAATTTAATGTGAGAAGAAAGTGGGCCTGAGCAGTGTAAGGGGTAGATTACAATGATGCTGTTTTGATTTCCCACCCAGATTGTCTTCACTAGACCAGACCAATGCATCCATGTTCCAGCTGCCCTGACTTTTGGCTGCCAAGGATATATGAGCAAGTGGGCCTAAGCAGGGCAAGGGGTGGACTATGATGATGTTTTGATATTCCATCCAGATCCTCTTCGCCACACCAACACACCCATGTTCCAGCTGTTAGGACTATTGGCTGCCAAAAATGCATGGCTGCCTACCTCCTTCTTTGAAGAATGGCTTTTGCCAATAGGGACTACCTAACCCGGGATGGTATGCATCAATCTCCCTCACTCTCTAGCCCCATACATCTCACAATGTATGACTGACTAAAAGCAGTGTACTAAATGCAGCTGCCCTTGCACAATTCCATATCACACCTCCTGTGGACCAGACAAAGGTTAGATTTTTACTTTAGACTACATCACTATTGTTCTGCTCTTTCCTCCTCTCCCTCCACTTTAGTCTTAACCTCACAGGTGTTGCAGAAAAGCATTTCCTGAACAAATGATGGGTCATGGTTACAACTGCCCTATCAAAGACTCTGCTCCTGAGGAGCAGGATCTGAGACAATCTCAAACTTTTTTATATAAGAATTAACAAGATGGTTAATTTAAAATGCAGCTTCCTTCATATTTAAGTCAATTTAATTCAGCTAGGTGTGTAGTGAGACCAGAGTTGGTCTTTTAATTTATTTGTTTATTTATTCACTTATTTATGTATTTATTTTAGATTTTTTTTTTCCCATGGAGCATGTGCACTCACCAGAGAGAGACAGAAAGTGGGAAATTATCCCCCGCCCAGAGGATAGCAACACCACAGTCCTGTCTCTCTCATTCTCCTGTCAGGATTTTGAGCATGCATACACCCATGTCCAGTGTGATTGTGTCCAGGACTCAACCTGTGGAGTGGGTCCTGTGGAATCCAGCACCTTAACTACCTCACTACCTGCTGGCTCCATGGCTTGGTTGTTTTAACAAGGACGGAATATGGTTACAATACAGT